AAAAAATTTCCCTGCCATTCCTGCCCAGTTATAGTTCAATCAACAACAATGCCCAAGCATGTACAATCGCTGTGAGGATGGTGCAATTAACTCACGCCAGTAGAGTGGAGAGGAAAACAAAGGAAGCAAAGAGGTCAGCCTAGTTGCAGGGCAGAGACCAAGTGATGTCTCTGCCCCGTGGGCTGTAACAGCAGAGTTACGTAGCTTTAGATGTATCTAGCATATGATGAAATATTGGGACAGAGCAAGTATTTCTACTGATTTATTTTTATTTTGCTCTGATAGAGGGAACAGCTTCCATGTCATTCTTCTGAAATAGGCCTTGGTCCATCACCCAGATAATTAAACTAAATAGCAGTGTCTCCTGAATCAAATGCTGCTAGAGAGGTGAAGCCATTTTTACCCCCTCTGCAGATCTGGTTGCATCGGTTTGTCTCAGTTTGATACACAGTGCAAACACAGCTGTTCCAGAGAGCAGCAAACCAACTGGCCTGTGGGGAGAAGGGAGGCAGCAAGCAGCGTTATCCGGGGCGCTGAAGTAAGAGCACACCCTGGGGTAACCAGCTATTTGGTAGCCTCGAGTATTGGGAAAGTTTTGAATTAGGAAAACCAAGTAATTAAAAGCTTTGTTGTTGTTAATGGACTAAAATTCCTTAGCCCGGACTCTCTAATGAGGTCTAGTGAAGCACTGTGCGAACATCAGGGCTCATACAGTGCTCGGCTGAGATCTGTGCAATACATTTTGCCCTAAACGTGTGTTTATTGTGAGTGATATTTGTGAGCGTCCATCACATCAAAGAAACTCTCACAACTTAGGAGGGAGTTCTCTGATCAAGTGTTGGATCTTGCATTAGTCTGGATGGATCTGGCCCAATGGATCTGGCCCAACTCCTCTGGCGTGTTCAACCTAAGGGTATGGGACACGGGAAGTGGTGCACTGCTTGCATGTGGCGTGGATCAAGCAGATGCTGCTGGGAGTAGTTTTACCTCTGCACTGTGTAGGTAACTTTCTAGTGATCAGAGGGCATTAGAAAACCCAAGTTTTAGGTGAAACACCACAGGGTGGTGTCTATTTATGGAATATGCAACCTTTGACTGCTGTAGCTGAATGTAAGCACTCTTGAAATACTCTGCTTCGCTGATGTGATTGTCTTAAAATACAGCACATGAACCAAAACAAGTAAAACTGGTCCAATGGCTTAACTGTCTTTGAACCTTTCTTAAATGCTTGCAGTGGCTGAGACTTGATGATGTTTCTTGCACTTGGAACTCTAATGCAGAGGAATTATTTTCTCCTTCACTGATTTTCAATCTGTTAGAGAAAACAATTCCCTTTTTGGTCCCTTTGTAGAGTGTCTGGGAGCACAGTACCTGCTCACTTCTGAGTCCTCCAGTCTAAGACCAAGGCTTGTACCATAAGGGAAAGCTGTTCCGACAAAGTTTTTAAGCAAAAAAGCTTGCTTAATCATGGAGCTGAATTCGTGTGCTCCTTGGGTCCATCTGCATTGCTGAAAGTGTTCTGGACAAACCATTATCTTTGCTTCTAAATCCCAGAGATACTGATGATGTCAGTCATGTGAGACTTTTAAAATGTGAAGCTTGTAGCTTTAATTTTTTGTAACAAAGAAACTAGCAACACTGGCATAAAGTGCTGACTTGAAATGCTGTTTTGTAAGATCTGGCTGTTTGTATATAATAGTGTTGGGTCATTAGTTTGTATATGTATGAAATAGTAACTTTTATTGCATTCCTCTGAGTTTGATACAGGATATTTTGTTTGACCTTTCTCAAATATCTTGCCTTATTTGTTCAAAGGGGCAAATAAACTGTCCTTACCTGAAAGCATGAGTGTTGTGACTCATATTTATTCATTAAAATACTCTGGTATATTATTGCTTATTGGGACAAGTTTTAACATAATGTGCCTCTAGTCAACCAATGTCATGCAAAATTCTGGAGGAGTACGCAAGCTTTAATAACCACAGGCAGTGAACAGGCTTTGAAGAGGCAATTCTTTAGCCTGAAAACATTACTAATTCTGCACCTCAAGGAGAGATTTGCAGGGCCCAGGGCAGGTCTGCGTGCTGCTGTTTCCCCACGCACCGCAGAGCCCTTCCTGGAGCTGCCGTCGCGCAGGAGCTCGTTTGCCCCAGGGGCTGCTCCGGCAGATGGGGAGGGAGAACTCTGCTGTAGATACTTGCTATCTCTGCTCTGTTATTTCACACTGCAGCAACTTTCCGCAGCCTGCAGTCAGGTTTGGGACTAGGTACGTATCCATTTACCCACCTTCCTACATAACAGGTGAGGCTAGAGGCTCGCCCGCCCAATTCTGGCTGACTTGCTGCACTTTCGGCTTTCTAGCTTGGAAAAAGATGAAGCTGACAGTGAGTGGGTGCTGCCTTCCAACGGTGAACTGTTGGCTTCTACGTGGTTTCCCTGAGCAGTTACTAAATCTGTCCTGAAGGGATGACTAACGAAGCAGAGACAGAATTCATTCAGGAGTCAGCTTTGGTTAGCAATCCCGGAAGAAACAAAATAGATGTGAGCTTTTAAATGTTAGGAAGGAACGTGGAAATCAAAGGGAGGGAGACCGCCGGCATTTCTAGTAACTGGGAAAGCCTGGAGCTCTTGCGTGTTCTCAGCAGCATTACCAGGATATTGCGGAGCCCCAGTGTGAAGGGAGGGTTGCACTCCCCGTGCAGCAGTGCTGCAGCCGTACAGGGGAGCGTTCACATGCACCCCCTTCACGCGGGGAGCAGAGCACCCTGCTGCACAGGTATTAGTTGCATATAACCAACAAAACCAGTGCTGATGAGTAGCCATGAGCTGGGGCTGAGGTTTTTCTCCCTCCTGGGGGGGAGAAAGTCAACTTCCCGTGAAGCCCATAGCACCAGCAGTTTTTCTCCTCCTCCCATAATGATTATCAGTACTGAGGTGCAGGTCTTGCTGTGCCAACGTCCT